TAGCCAAGCTCGTCATGCACATTCATGGGTCCACGCGTGCACACTTAGAAAGAGAGAGAGTTGAACAATGGTTTTTTCAAATGAGGTTGGAAGCGGCTAGAGCTTTTGCACATCTAAATGTGAAAATTTTCTTAAGGACCAAAAGAAAATCATGAATAATAAATTACATGTATATTTACTTAAAATATGTTATACAGGGTACCTTGTAAAAGGTATAGGGTATAGGCCACCCTAACCCGGGAATCTACCTTATACTCACTTGTTTCGAATTTGAGAAATTGTAACTTACCCTACAAGTTTAAGACTCATTTCGGAACCTACTTGATTAATCCCTTCTGCAGGGTCCGCAGGATGCACAGGTTCTCCTAAATACCCTACTATTTAGTGTTGAAAGAAACTCTCCCTAATTTTGGGTCTTGACTTCATGAACTAAGGCATTTTTTCTTTTTTAATTTTGCGAGTTTTATTAGTGGTAAGCTTTGTGAAAGATGGTAGAAAAGACTTGTCACACAATGAGAGGGCCACATGTCAATTTCTCAATGGCCTTCTACTATGTTCACTCAAATACTTATACAGTATTAGATTAGATGACTTTATGTGCAATTGCTCTCGGGTTGGATTTTCAAAAATTTAAGTAAAAGAGGTTTCACGACTCCAAAATAATTCCTATAATCCTTTCACACTGCACAAGCTGCATCTTTCTTAAATCCCATGCACATAGGAAAGAATGCATTCAATAGCATGTTTGCTATACCCTTTCAGACATATCATCTTTAAATGTCAAATTTAACTGGTTGTGAAGGAAGGAAGAAGGGTCATAATTTCTCCTGGTAGATTTTTCACTAGTTGGAAAATGAACATCGAAGACAACTAAACATGTGCCGTAACTTGTATACAGTATAGTTAAGTGTACTGACCAGCAAATTAAAGTAGTTAATCACTTGCCAGAACATCCAAAGCGCGGAGAGCGTACAAACCCTTTACCCTAAAGATAATATGGGTTAGTACGCACAATAAGCAAATGCAAGCTAACTAAAGTAACAGGAAAGAAAGAGGTGCAATGCAATGCAAGACTAGCGTCACCACACCTGAACTTGAGGGCTAACGAATCCCAGAAGTCACTATTCAGAAGGCGCCAGCTCCGACATCGGAAAAATTGGAGAGACTGTAGTACAGAAAAGCAGCAGAGAGATTTGTCCTAAGAATCACTGTTAAGGAATGACTCCAACTGTAGACTTCGGATCATCTATAGGCATCATATTATGATGTAGAATGTAAAAACTCTTCAAGGCAGTGAGAAGAAACATTATCTTGTCTCTCCAACGAGCATAATTGTTTCCATCAAAATGGTCCAATTTCATCACGTCTTGATTAATGACTTTGATTGACTTTGACTCCATGATTGCAAAAATAATTCCTTAAAACTGTTGGAAAAAAATGGATTGGGAGAAAAAAGGAGTTAGACTTTGAGGTGTGAATACAGTGTCTTTAAGAAATTATTCGACTCACAACATTATTAATGGTTACCGGCAAAAATCCATCTGGATATTACAAAATCTCAAACGAGAATACCATATATCAATCCTAGTAATTCTCCAAGAAATCTCAAAAAAGAAACAATTGAAAACAATGGCTGCAATATTTTTTAGAAAGGAAAATCAAGAAAATATTGACACAAAAATGACGAATTCAAAACAATGTTTTTGAACAGATACAACCTTTCATTTGAAAGGTTGCATTTACAATAAAGGAACCCTCCTTTCCTAAACAAATAATGTTTCAAAAGATAAAGTGTAAATTCAGATTAAAAAATAACCTGTTTTTGGAGTTTTTGTCGAATTTTCATTTATTTATTCCGAATTTTATAACTTCTGAAAAGATACAATATTTCAAAAGTTGTAAGACACCTAATAATCATTAGGCAGAAATTATAAATTCGAAATAACGAAAAATTAAAAAAATAACCGCGGTTGAATTATTACTATAGCACACGTGTTTCTTTCCAACAATAGGCTACTATGTCATATAAATAGACCTCTTAGTGAAGCTTTAGTAGCAAAAATCCAGATAAGCGGATACTAGAATCGTCCGCGTGAGAATTCCGCTCAATTCGTTCATCCATTCTCTCACGAACGCTGTACCGATAAAGGCAAGAAGAATAACGTGAAAAGCGTGAGGCATTTGTTCTTTCTAATAGACTTTGCGTTTTTTTTTTTTTTTTTTTTTTGGTTTTTCTTGGGCTTCGGGGCTTTGGTCCTTTAGCTTTGATGAAATGGGCTCCTTGCTAAGGCTTCATGAGTCTTCCAGCCAAAGCCGTCAAAATGGGTCATGAATCTATATTTTAACTCGTATTTATTAATGTACGTCATAAATGGGTCAGCTCAAATTTGTTGTATGGACCAAAATGAGTTTTGAAAAGAATGGTCCAAAATAAACGAGTCTACATGGATCTAATATGAAACCCACTTTCAGCCCATATAATCAGAACAGTAAAGCTAATGGGCCTAGCCCATCTTCTTCTTCCTTCTTTGCCGTGTCTCCTGGAACGTGACTCGCGAGCTCTCCTCCTCCTCCTCTTTGATCCAATTGATCTGCGTCGCCGTTGCCACCATCGCCTATCTCCAGCTTCGCTTCGCTGCTGCCCATCTCCGAAAAGCCCACAAAATCCATCTTTTGAGATGGTGCCGAAAGAAGGTGAGATAGTCATGGCAGCGAGTCTTGAGCAACTGGTAGAGGTGGGAGGGACGACGGCGACGTGGCTGAGGAATCACTGCCTGATGTACACCGCGGCCACCAGGCACCCTCTGATCCTCACCATCCGAGATGGGCCGATCGACCTCAACTCCTTCAAACGATGGCCCAGATCCTTTTTTCCCCCACCGAACGGCATGATGGAGTCCGCCAACTCGAAATCATTGTTCTCCAAGTTATCGAAGCCAACGATATCGGCTGCACGATCGCCAATTACTCGACCAGAAGAGCTCCGGGAGTGAGGCTCGCTTGATTCTCTGTGGAAGGCGAAGGACTCGATCGGAGGCGGAGGTGGTGGGAGTCGCCTGAGGACGTGAGAAGGCTTGAAGGAGTGGGACAGGTCTCTCTAGTCCTCCTCCGCGAGCTCGTCCACTGCGCTCTTCGTCTCCATTGCATGACGATCTTTGGCAACCAATAAGGATGATGCTCCGAAAAACCTAGATGAGGGGTCTTTCTCGAGGAAGTGGTTTGAATTTTTTTTAATGTTTTTTGGCAGTTCAGATTAAAAAAGGACAAGAAAGGATTTTCATATTTATTTTGTCTTTTGTCGGATTTGTTGTGGAAGGTTTTTATTAACTAGAAAATTTGTGAAATTAGAAGAACTTGATTAGACAAATTAAAGGTAAAAGGACTTAATCAAAAAAGGCGTGAAAGTATAAGGACTCTTTTCCAAGTGTTTGATCCGACTAGGTTAGGTGATCAAGTTCTTTTGGGTGATTTCGTGAACTTCATCGAGTAATTGAGTTCATCTAATCAGTTTGACGAGCCTATCAATGATTTTGTGAGCAATACTATAGGAAAGCAAATAGATTATCACTCATTACAAATGTATATGCATAAGCCGCTTATATCAATAGGATAAAAAGGAAAAGATATCATGGAATAATTTCAAAATCACATTCGTTTACAAACTACATATATTGATTGCAGGATCCACAGCATATGGTTTTTAACATAAACTGATTACAAAGACAAATGCGAGCATGCCATTCGAATGAGAAATGCTATATGTGTAGCAAAACACTACCTTGCATATTTTTGTATCTGACTGATTAGACAAGGTCACCTCGAGTGTCTGAATTGTATAATTTTGTTGGATTAATTTCATATGTTCTAAAAGGTTAAACTGATAAATAAATGCGTTGTTTAATATTTAAATATTATAATGCTCTGTAGATTAGATTTTTGTCTAATACTAAAGCAGGAAAAATATATAATTAGGGATGTAAATAAGGGGTTCTGAAAGGACTTGAGCTCAAAACATTCTATTCGAATACCATATGACACCGTCCGTTGTGGCTTTAAAGTTGTAGGTGTCGAAAAAAGTTTTAGCATCTCTCTTTTATTGATGCCACATCATTTAGCTTTGTCATATAAGTGAGAAAATATTTAGTGATTGCAACGCATCACATCCATCACTGATGCGGCGTACGTTTTTTTACTCATATCCAATAACTGATTGACATGTGTCATATGAGGCAGAATATGAAAATAAAAATATGATTTTTCACTTCTTCCTCCTCCATCACATAGCACCATTTGGCCACCACCCTTCCGGCGTACTCCATTACAAAGCACCACCCCGTCCAGCCACCATCTCCACCCCTTCCAGCGTTGCTTGCAATTGGCCCAATCTACATCTCTGTCATCGCTCACGGTTGGCTTCGTTGTTGCTCGTCTAGATCTGGCCTCACCCATGGCGGCAAAGCTTAGCTCGTCCATCCACCTACGGCAACGACATTGAAACGAGCCATGACTGGAGTTTGTCCATCCACTAACAGCACCGACTACGAGTAACAAAGTCTAGATCTGGACCGCCAAATCCACTCCTCGATCGGGTTCGCCTACACTACTATGCGTCCAAGCCGACCGCCCCCTCCATTTTCCTTCCTTGTCCATGGCCAATGCTTCCAAAATTGGCCCGGGCGAACTTTTAGAGCTGGAGCTATGGCTGCAAGCGACGACGGCTCGTTTGGCGCAGGTGGCCATGAATGGCCAAATCTGAAGTGTTAGCTGGCCAAAAAGATGCCCGAACGCGGTGCCGGCAGCCTAGGACGACAAACAGATCTGGAGAGAAAAGTGGGTGGAGGAGGAAGATGAAAACAATCAAAGGTTGTAACCTCCTCCATGGTCACTTATGCTCAACGAAATTCCATCGTGGCAACCTCATCCCGTAGGAGAGTGCCAAGCCACCGAGCCAAACCTTCTCGCTGAGGTCCAGCGATCCAAGTCGTGTCCAGCAAGCATCCATAGTTTCTCGACAAGCACCGCCGTCACACGTTGTAGGTCCGATGAGGAGAGGAGGAAGATGAGAAAAATCATCTTTTATTTTTTTATTCCAACTTAACAAATACGTGTCAATCTATTATTGGATATGAGTAAAAATGCGCGCCACATCAACGATTGATGTGATGCTTTGCAACACTGAATATTTTATTGTCATACAAAGTTGTGCCATCTCTCTTCCCCAAAGTCCTCGGGAAGCAACTAGAAGAACCTTTTTCCGAGTAGGGAGACTTCGGGGAAGTCGAGGCAAGCCTCAGGATTTTCATAAGGGAACTTGTCGGTCTTGTGAGCCAAGAGGAGCCACAGATGAGTGATGAGCTCACCTCCTCTTCTCAGTCGCTTGGCGTGGTGATACACAGGACACTTGTCTACTGCATAACACAGCATCTCCACCCAGATGCTGCTTATGAGCTCCCACTTATTGCCCATCGTCCTCAGGTCGGCCACGAGCTCGTGCACGTCCAACAGCACGTGCCAGCCACAGTGGACTCTCGTCGCCGCACCCGGTTCCACGTGAAAAGCTTGAGAAATGAAAGAAAGGAGAAAGGAAATCTATAGTTGAAGAATTTGAACTTCTATTCATCAGTTTATGCAGAGAATCTTCATACAGAACTTCATCTGAGAGGTTGACCTCTCTCTTGTGTATCTTACTGTTTATATAGTACATACAGCTAAAATAACGCTTGAGTTTATAGCTCATATACCAGAAAATACAACTGAACAACTAAACTAACAGAAGAAACAAATATGTACAGCTGAACTAACAGAATGTCAACTACTATGTTTTTTCATAGCTCTAAGAACAGAATTAGTTACGCAGAACATTATTGATGCGTATAGAAGACTTGAGCTTTCTTCAGCTTTCCACTTCTTCTTTCTTTCCTGTAGTTTCAACATGCCCCCGCAAACTGGGTGCAGGTTTGAACCCCAAGCCCAGTTTGGTTCTGAGAGTGGAATGATCGAGTCGTGGCAATGCCTTGGTGAAAATGTCAACAAGCTGGCGATGACTAGGAACATACTGAACTCGTAAGGATCCCAAGGAGACCTTTTCTCTGATGAAATGAAAATCAATTTCAATATGTTTAGTTTGAGCATGTAAGACAGGATTGGTAGTAAGGGAGATGGCAGATTGGTTATCACAAAACAGAGTTGTAGGAGAGTGAAGAGAGATGCCAATATCACGTAGGACAAAACTAATCCATGTAAGATCAGCAGTAGCAGATGCAAGAGCTCGATACTCTGCTTTAGTAGATGAACGAGAGACAGTTGGTTGTTTCTTAGCGGACCAGGAGATGAGATTGGAACCAAGATATGTGCAAAAACCAGTGGTGGAACGTCGGGTATCAAGACAGCCAGCCCAATCAGCATCGGAGAAGCTGGATAAGGTCATAGAACTTTGGGAGTGTAGGAAGATTCCCAGATTCACAGTGCCCTTAACATATCGAAGGACTCGCTTCAGTTTATGAAAATCAGCAATGGTTGGTCGCTGCATTTTTTGACATAAAATATTAGTGGCATAAGCAAGGTCTGGGCGAGTTATGGTGAGATACTGAAGCCCTCCAACTAAACTTCTGTATTCAAGTGGGTTAACAAGATAGATGTCATCTTCCGTCGTGTGGAGGGGCCTTACAGATAGTGGAGTTGTTATTGGTTTGCAGTCTTGCATGTGTGCTCGTGTAAGAAGATCAATAGCATACTTGGTTTGGCAGAGAAAAAGGTCAACTGAAGTGCATTTGGCTTCTATCCCCAGAAAATAATGAAGCGAGCCCAGATCTTTCATGTGAAAAGAGATACTCAGAGATTTGATGAAATCATCAAGCAACTGATGTGAGTTACTAGTCAACACAATATCATCAACATACAGAAGCAACAAGATTGTGTTGGTGCCACGATGAAACACAAAGAGAGAAGGGTCTGTGGTGCTGCAGAAAAAACCAAATTCAAGAAGAAAGTTGCTGAACTTCTCAAACCATGCACGTGGAGCCTATCGAAGACCATACAAAGACTTCTTGAGTAAACATACATGATGAGGCAAAGTAGGATGGATAAAACCAGGGGGTTGCTCCATATAGACAGATTCAGTAAGCGTGCCATGTAAAAAGGCATTTTTGACATCTAGCTGACGAATAGGCCAGTGCTTTACCATAGCCACTGATAAGACAATACGGAGTGTGGCTTGTTTTACTACAGGGCTGAAGGTTTCAAAAAAGTCTACTCCTTCTTCTTGGTGAAACCCTTTAGCAACTGGACGAGCCTTCAACCTATCAAGACTTCCATCCGGTGCTAACTTTGTTTAAACACCAACTTACAACCTATGATATTCATCTGAGCCGTTCTTGGAACTAATTCCAAGTTTGATTCATATGCAAGGCATCCATTTCCTCATGCATGGCCTGAGTCTAGCCCTTATGAGCTAGAGCTGATTTAAGTGATTTCGACTCAGCTGGAACATTGTATTCAGCTAAGCAAGCATATCTGGGATTTGGTTTAGCTATGCCAGACTGGAGTCGAGTTTGCATAGGATGAACAGAGGTGTCACGGGAATGATGGGGAAAAGAACTTGGATGGTCTTGGTCATCAACAGGAATGATTGGTGTTGCATTATCTGGAGCAGAACATCCTGAGACCTCAAGGTCAGTAGGAGGCTGTGAGGATGATAAAGACATATGTTTGCACTGCTCTGTGATGTATGGGACACGAATTTGGCCAACCTCCAGAACTCCAATTTCCTGTAAATGACCAGTGGTACAGATAGATAGGAGGGTGTCGCATGGGACTCAGCTTGTTAGAATCCAGAAAGTCTACCTCATCAACCCATTTTCGATACAGAGAGGTGTAGTGAGGATAGTCACTATTTAGTTTCTTGGTAAAAGGAAAGAAACATTCATCAAACTTCACATGTCGACTGACATATATTCTACCATCAGTAGAGACAAGACAACGATACCCCTTATGACGCTCACTATATCCGAGGAAAACACATGTAAGGGATCGAGGATCAAACTTGTGTTGTGCATAGGGTCTGAGGCAGGGACAACAAGCACAGCCAAAGACCCTAAGATGATCATAGCTCGGTACTTGTTTAAACAACCTACTGTGAGGTGAGTCCATCTGCAACTTGGGAGTTAGAAGTAAGTTAACGATGTAATTGGCAGTCAAAAAGGAATCAACCAAATATTGTAGTGGAGTTCTAGCATGGTAGAGCATAGTTAGGCCCAATTCTACCACATGACGGTGTTTCCTCTCGAAAATCCCATTCTGTTCAGGGGTGTAGGGGCAAGATAAGTACTGTTTAATACCACAAGTTGCCAAGTGATTCTGAAATCTGGTGCTAGTGAATTCACCTCCCCCATCACATTGAAAAAATTTGATTTTATGATTAAGTTGGTTTTCCACGTACTTCTGAAACATAAGAAAAACATCATAGAAGTCTGACTTCAGTTTCATTGGATAAAGCCAACTATAGCAAGAAAAATTGTCAACAAAGATGACATAAAATATGAATCCCTTAAGTAAAGTTGCTGGTGATGGATCCCAAATATCACAATGTATCCTTTCTAGAGGAACTTCAATTGCAGAATCAGAGAAGGAAAAAGGTAGTGAAGTACTTTTGACAAGTTGACAACTACCACACACAGGTGGTGCTTTCTTATTGCAGCAGATCCTTTACTGTCGTTGAAGATGCTTCAAGATCTGTGAGTTGCTATGAGCAAGTCGTTGATGCCATATTTCTTCTTCGACCGCCTTATGTCTCTGTGTAAGTAGAGCCTTAGTTTCCTGCTGATCCACTCGGTAGAGCCCCCCAACTTTTCTCCCAAGCGTCACTGTGGTGTTGGTGCGATTGTCCTTTACATAGACACCATGTTTGTCAAACACAAAAGAGCAGGGAAAGTCATCAGTCAATTTCGAAACTGAAAGAAGGTTCTTCTTGATTTCAGGAACCACCAGTACATCATTTAATGGTAACACATTAAGCTCAAAATGTAAGAACGCATTACCAGTGTAAGTAATAGGAATACATGATCCATTTCCTATCATGACAGTATCATTTCCAGTATACTTCGAGGGGTTATGAATTATACCAGGATTGGCAGTGATGTGGGTTGTGGCTCCTGTGTCAGGATACCATTCACTGCCTGTAGGATCCTCAAGATGCATTGCTGCTAGAGCTTGAGGAATAGCTTCATCTTGATAAGAGTTGTCGAACCGATACCAGCATCGAAGTGCATCATGCCCTGGTCGTTTGCAGATTTGACATGCTACGCGAACTCCATCTGTCGCTTTCACAACCTGCAAATTCTTATAAGTTGCTGAGTTTTGAGTGGGATAAGACTTAGTCTCTTGATACCTCTGTGATGAATCAGCATGTGGTAAAAAACCAGGGCCTACACTATAGGTGTTAGTCTGTGGTTTAAAACGCTGAACCTCCTGATCCTGGTTCAGACTAAATGGTCTATAATTCTGACTTCTTCCTTGATAACCATAACCACAACCTCGATTGTCGAAGGAACGACCTCTGCCATAGTTACGTCCTCCCCTGAAACCACCTTTCTGTCCCATGAAAGCCAGATTAGGCTGATTAAGTTCTTTGCTAGTTACTATCTTCGGTTCCATCTCTACGTTTCTTTCTCCGTAATATGCCAAGTTAGGATTAAACTGATTCGAGGAATAGTTCTGTAGTCTTGTTCTAGCTGTGATATCACCTCATCATAATCAGGTTGAGGTTTCAAACAATACATGGTTGTTTTGAAGTTTTCATACTCAGATCCTAGTCCTTCCAAGACGCCAAAAACCTTAGTTATTTCATCCACAGGTTTTCCTATTGCATTTAACTGATCGCAAATCAATTTGTACTCTCTTATATAATCAGATAGTTGTCTATTTCGTTTCTGACATGCTTGCAGTTTCCCCCTCAACTCAAACTCCCTAGCTACTGATTTCTGTGCGAATCGATTCAGCAAAGTCTGCCATACCTCATAGGATGTTTCCAAGCTGATGATTAGCCCCAGGATATTCCTAGAAACTGCACCACTGATCCATGAAGATACCAATTGATCGGTTTTCACCCAATCAGTGTAATCAAGATTGACTACTTCGATCTCTCTCCCGTCAACTTCAACTTGTATTGTCTGAGGAGGTGGTGGAATTTCTCCATTGATGAAGCCAAATAGCTCTTGACTGCGAAGAAATCTATAAAACTGAGCTTGCCAGAGAAGAAAGTTGTCTTCAGCAAGCTTGATTGTAACGAAGTTAGCAATGTTGACATGAATAGGAAAAGGATATCTCGGTGTTCTTGCTACCATTGTTGTGTTCTCAGAGAATGAGATCAGAATTCACAGCTTTGCTCTCAGAGAGGGCTCTGATACCATGTGAAAAGCTTGAGAAATGAAAGAAAGGAGAAAGGAAATCTATAGTTGAAGAATTTGAACTTCTATTCATCAGTTTATGCAGAGAATCTTCATACAGAACTTCATCTGAGAGGTTGACCTCTCTCTTGTGTATCTTACTGTTTATATAGTACATATAGCTAAAATAACGCTTGAGTTTACAGCTTATATACTAGAAAATACAACTGAACAACTAAACTAACAGAAGAAACAAATCTGTACAACTGAACTAACATAATGTCAACTACTCTGTTTTTCCTTAGCTCTAAGAACAAAAATCAGTTACGCAGACCTTACCAAAAAAAAAATTAAACCTTACCAAAAAAAATCAGTTACGCAGAACATTATTGATGGGTATAGAAGACTTGAGCTTTCTTCAGCTTTCCACTTCTTCTTTCTTTCCTGCAGTCTCAACACCACGAAGAGTGGGACAAATCCATCCATCGACGAGAGCGTGCTCATTGCTTCTTCATAGTCTCGGTACCTCAAGAAAGGCATCACTGTGCAACAAGCGTACTCCAAAGTGATGTTGGCGGTGGGGAGGGACAGCATGTGAGGATGCTGAGCAAGGAGGTACATCATGTACTCTGATAGGAATTTGCTTCCTCCGCAAGCATCGGATTTTTCGATTTCCAATGATTGCAGGACTTCAGTTGCGATGTGCCAGATAATGATGCTCTTAGCAAATTTTGCCTCGATGCTACGGCTCAGTCTTTGTTTCTCTTGGACGCCATGAATCTCGAGCGTCCACTTGCCTCTTTCCGTGAAGTCACGGGAATCTCTTTTCTTCTCGAGCTCCGCCATCTTTTGTAGTACCAGCGCCCTGAGGGACGAGGGCATGGGCTGGCGGGAGTGTAACCAATGCCAACTGTAGATCTCCCGCTTACCAAACCAATCAAGTACCAAGCGGACGAGCTTGCACGTACCAAACCAATGAAGTACCAAGCGGACAGGCTTTGTCCTTTCTTGGTATGCGAGGCAGTGTTTTAACAAACTGAGCTGCCCCATCGACCTTGACCATCTTTTCTTCCTCATGCACCGATCAGCCAGAAACGGGAGAAGCCTTGAGACGAGCCTTGAGAAGAGCGGCATCCCAAGGTTCTTACCCATCACCACGACTGCCCAATCCGTAAATGCCAACGTTGTGATCTGATAAAACTCAAGAGATGTGACTGCCATCAGTAACGCATAGGTAGTGGTGATGTACATATCGATCAAGAAGGTGTTCTTGAAGATCACGGCGAATCTACACAAGGCAGACACCAAGCAGAAGAAGCCGACGAAGCGGGCTATGATGCCGCGTTTCGTGTACAGGATGGGTGCTTTAGTGTAGAGCACGTCGAACATGAAGTTCAGCTCGATCTTGTTCACGGTGAAAGCACGGTTGGCAGGGTAACTGTCGATGGACATCCAATCGTGGGATATGAACACAGGGTGGTATTGCCAATTCACGAGGTGGGGCTTTAGACAGTCGAACCGAAAGTAGGCCTTCAAGATGTCCTTTGCGGAGTTGAACTTCTTGTCCTCGGGGAACACTTCAAGCTGAGCACTGTCTTCCCTGACTTCCTTGGTGTCTACTTTGGGAAAGTGCTCGGCGTTCAAAATTGAGTTCTCATCATACACCGATTTGAGAGCCCAGACCCACAACGCCGCCTTCATGAATCTGGCAATGAACAAGGGGATGTACAGCCATGAGACAGGGGACGAGCCGTCCTGACAGCGAATGAGAATACGAACCACGAAGACAACTGTAGCCCCAATGTTCAGAATCTGTCTCATTCCTAGCCGGTTATCTTCCACTGCATAGGCCATTATGCCGTCTGGGTACCCAAGTTGCATAAGAAGCACTGGGGCAAACAACCCTTCCAATTCCACATTGTATCTTGGATTTTCAGGATCATTGATGCGGACCACAGTAAGCTTGCCCAGCGCAATTTTCGCAATGTAAGAAAGGAGCAAATAGGTGGCCCAGGTAATGAATCTAGCTAACTTAAACGTCATATATTTCCGACGGATGCCTAATATTGTGAGAAAAATCTCGCAGGCAATGCTTGCGCTGACCAAGAAATGAATCCCCCAGTCTGCCCACAGATCTTTTAGCAGCGGTAACACCGTGTTGATCAAACTCATGGTGGCTTCGTTCAGATGTGCTCACTCGACATCAATGCAAATGCAGAGTGAGGAAGATTTTTACATTGCTTATGAAGAATAATTACGAAGAGCTTGCACAAGACTGCATAAGTGCATCCATTATTGCATACATTAACTCTCTCAATCTGTGAGAATTTTGCACAACATGCACATTGTTCATCCTACAAGTTAATCGCATCATATAAGTCAAGCGACACATGGATCAGACACAGTGTGCGTAAAAAGGAAGATTTACAATGCGATTAAAGGATTTGAATGTATATCCTTTGCGATCCTTGTATTTTTTTTTTTTCCATTTTTTTACACCTTTTTTTTCTTTTTTCATTTTTTGTTGTGTTCAACTAGATCTTAACTATTTAGGAAACTGGCACCCTTCTCGCATCGTGAGATGTGAAGAAGCTTTCGGACAAATTTTTGCCGTTAGTCGTCCACCTTATGAGTCTTCCTTTTTTTTTTTTCAGAATAATAAACTACATATGCTCGCTCCAATTAGGTTACTTGGGAAAACAAATTGTAGTTCTTAGGTGAATGCTTACTAAACGCTATATTACTGAAATGAATGAATGAGAATTTATGCCACTAAAATAAGCGCCGTGCAAAAGTGGAGGCGAGGTGTTACCTTTATTTTTCGTATATTAGCTTTTCAAAGTACATTCAAAATAGATTTAGAAGAAAAAGAAGGAAAAAGGTGGAGATAGACATGGCCACGGGCCGGTTTTGGTCCGGAACCGGCCCGGGTCAAACCTGGGACCGGCCTGTTGACCGGGCCCGCGGTTCGGAACCGGAACCGGCCCGTGGCCTACGGGCCCGGTTCCGATTCCAATAATTTTGGAACCGGCCCGGAACCGGTGGTTCCGGGCCCGGTTCAAAAAAAAAATGCTACTGCCTGCAGCCCCATGTTGACATGTTCCCACCAGGCCGCCCCCACCCACGCCCACCTCCTCCAGTCCTCCACGCTCTCCTCTCCCACCAGTCCCTCATCCGCCACTTTCGCTCCACCCTCTCCTCCTCCGTCCACACCCCTCTCCGCCACTCCCACCCCCTCTTCGCCCCCTCCGCCTCCCTCCTCCTCATGCCCTCTTGGTCCTCCCACCCTTCCCTCCCTTACATCGGCATCAAGCTTGTGGCCCACTTCCCCGGCAACTCCTCCGCGCTAAACCTGCTGGGGGTCCACGCCGTCTTCGTCCTCTTCAGCTCCCTCACCGGCCAGCCCCTCGCCACCGCGAATGCCACCATGTTGACCCTATACCGCACCGCCTGCGTCTCGGGCCTCGCCTCCGAGCTCCTCTCGCGGACCGATAGCAAGGTCCTCGTCATGGTCGGTCCCTCCTTCCCCTCTCACCCCTGCGCCTCCTCCGATCCTCCCCTTTTCTCCTCCGCCCGCCCCCCGTCTTCCCAGATCTGACCCCTGCTGCCGTCGCCGCCGTCGCCCCCGCCCATGGCTACAGCCGCTGTAACAGTCTGAATTTTCGATCCTTTTCCCGGGATTTAGGAAATGAATATTGATCAATGCACTATAGTGAGATCTCACCCGGAACAGCGCATTCTCGGGATGCTAACCTTAGGGGTAGGGCTATTATGGGATTGAGTTCGTACGACCAAAGAACTCGACCTGGGTTCGACCTTCGACCATATCAATTGACGACGGAATGTTTTGAGCCAACCGAGACCGATCTATTTGATTGATCGTGTCCGAAGGGCACTAGTGACAGACCCTCGCAATTATATGACAATCGAGGTCACCTTAGTTCGAGCAAACTTAAACGTGATTTGACTTAGTGTCGGTCACGGGTCGAGAGTGCGTAATCCCAATGAGCCACCCGTTAGCCAGAGATAAGCTAAAGTCGCGATTGTTCGATCTTAGTCATTTCTTGAAATTCGGACCTAGGAATCGAGAATTTTGAAAGTGACAATTTTGAGCGGCTGATGACGTTTTTGGCTTGGCCAACCTTGGGGCCACCCATTTCTGCAAAAAAAATGGATTTTGGTTCGGGACCGGAAAAATTACGATTTTGCCCCTCTGGTCACCGATGTTGATTTTGAGGCCGTATGAGATTATTTTTCGAGGCCGATGTCATTTTGGGGTAGCCACGCACATTTAGAGTTGTTATGGTAAAAAATTGGAATTTTAGCTTGGAAGTGAAAAATAATATTATTTTAATCCCCAGGACTTTGCAGTCGATTTTCGAGGGCTTAAGAAGCTATTTTCGCGATTCCGACGCCATATTATGTTGGCCACACACATTTGGGGTTGGTACGGGCGAAAAATGAAATTTCGACCCGGGACCGGAAAAATGACCATTTTGCCCCTGGGCCGTTTTCAGTTCCGAATTTTGGGATAATTAAGAGTACTTATCAGCTGAATTATTGGACCTAATTACCTTTTTTCCCATCAATTATTTGGCTGGAATGATTATGGACCGTTAGATTAGGGGCATTTTGATCAAAATCGTCGGATTGGCGACACTTGGCGCCACCAGCCCCAATATTTGACCACCCTTGGACCGGCCACTCTCTCTCCTCACTCCCCATTCAGCCAAGACTCTCTCTCCCTCACCCGAAATCTCTCTCCCTCTTCCTCCCTCTCGGCCAAGTGTGGCCGCCGTACGCCGGAGCTCGCCGGACCGCCGCCGTGCTGCCGCCGTCCGCAGGTGCCGCTGCTCCGCCTGACCTCGCCTCACCACCATCCTGTCCGTCCCCCTTGGCTGGCCACCAGATCGCCCAGCCACCTGATCGCCGCCGGCCAGCCACCTGCCGCTCCTCCTCTTTTCCGGCCAAGCCTCATCACCGTCTGTCTCTCTCTCCTTCTGTTTCACTATTCCGATCAGCCCCGTTGCCGCCGAGCCACCTTTGGCCGTCCTTCCCTGGTCCATACGACCTGGACGCCGCCCTCAGCAGCCCGTTTGCCGCCGGCCAGCCACCCGCCCAAGGCAGCTCAGCCGCTCGCCTGCTTGGTCGCCGGCGCCGTTGCTGCTGCTGCTGCTGTTCCGCTTGTTCCAGCCGCTCATCCAGCCCTGTTTGTCCCAGCTTTTGGAGTAAGTGTCTTCCCCAATCGCCACTTAGGACCTCGGGTATTTCTAGGCTCGTTTAGGACTTGATTTAGGTAAAATTATGGTTGTTTTGTGGCTGTTTTTGGGGACTGAGCTAGGGGCTGGTTGTTTGATGGTTGTGGGCTGATTTGGCGAAGAAATTTGTGAGGATTTGGAGGCTCGATGATGGCTGTGATGTGTGGAGCGATCGCGGTTAATTTGTGTAATTGATTGGAATTATTGTGGCTTGAATGGGCTGATTGGAATGTTTGTGCTGGTTGTGTTTGTGGACTGATTTGGGATTGTGCTTGGGCTGATTGTGGACTGGCCATGTGTCGTGTGTGTATGGCCGTGAAGTGTGGTGGTGTGTTGGGGTGAATGTGCGTTGCATTCGCATGCTAAATGTGTTTGGTCGTGTGGTGTATTCGTATGATGAGGACGCGAATTGTGAAATGCGTGTGAAGTGTGTATGTTTGGTCGTGCGACTGTTGACTGTGTGTAAGTGTGGTTTGACTGGAACGAGGGTACGGAAATGTAGGATTGGTTGGAAAGATCCGTCCTGAGGCGTGTACGTTTACGCGGGACGATGCCGTCCCTGACGAGGTGACGATGCCCGGCCCGACGGGGTGTCGATGCTTGACGAGGTCAGAAGACCGTTGGCCTGATGCGTTTTACGCGGGCGCGGTAGAAGGAAAGTGTGTGTAGGATTCCGTCCTGAGGCGTGTACGTTTACGCGGGACGATGCCGTCCCTGACGAGGTAACGATGCCCGGCTCGACGGGGTGTCGATGCCTGACGAGGTCAGAAGACCGTTGGCCTGATGCGTTTTACGCGGGCGCGATAGTGGTGGAAGAATTGAGAATGAGCGGGAATTGGCTTGAGGTGCGAGGTTTGAGAAAGTGATGCATGGTGGGAGTAGTATGCGAGTGTGTTTGTATCGCGTGATGTGATGCTTAATTATGGGGTAGAAACTACTAGGCATGGTATGGGACGTGCCCAAGTGGTTTCTGTCTTATAATTGAGGTACGCACGCGTCTGTGATTCCTTGCTGTGATGTGCTGGCTGTATTATGGTCTAACGTGCAGGAACGTGCATGATGGGTTCCAGGTAGGTTCGTGTGTGATTGTTAGATTGATTGATCGTTGTGTGAGATGCGTGTTCTGTCTGGCGGTACGTGAGTGCCTACGTGGGGTTTGGGGTTGTACACTTATTGAGATTCGTCTCATGGTTGTATAACCACCACTTTCAGACCCCCAGCCGTAAACCGAGGGAGCCCGCTTCCTCTTTTTGAAGTACGAAAAGCCGCCCATGGTGCCCGGTGGATTCGCAGGCGATGCCCAAGAGATTTCCGGAGGATCGAGCCAGATGAATTAGGAGCAGAATGGAGAAGGGCGACCCTTAGGCTCTCCCTAGGGAATTTTAGGGATTGTGTAGAATTCGTTAACTGATAATGAAGTTAGGCTAACCAGACCCTGATCTTTTTGTTAAATTGGTGGCTGTGAATGTTCGTTTGATAATTATGTCTGTAATATGATGTTTGTATATTTGGTGCAGTAGTATTGTACATAAATGAATGTTGTTGTTATTTGACTGTCTGGTTGAGCTACCCCATCGTCGTCTTTATAGTCAGGGGTTTTATAGTCGCTTCCGCATGTGTTTCTGATGTTTGGGATTAGGTCGGCGATGTTCCTGGGACGTCGCAAATATTCGACCAGAGCAGGGGATGTCACGAGCTCGTAGGGGTTCGGGGCGTGACAGCCGCCGACGCCGACGCCCCCTCCTCCTCCCCCCTCGCGACCCTGCGCCTCCTCCCCTTTTCTCCTCCTTCCCCCTCGAACCGGAACCGGCCGGAACCGGAACCGGCCCGGAACCGTGGCCATGTCTAGGTGGAGAAGAGGTGCTACAGGAGTATCTAGCGAGGTGAGAAGGTTTTAGGATGAGTAGGGTATTTTCCCTAGAATAGAACCTTAGAATCCGGAACTTGTCATTGCCACGAGTTCTTGGGTACCTTATACTATCCGATACTTCTTCGTATTGTTTCATTGAACATTCAAACATTCAAACATAACCAATAAATGGGTTACATGTTAAAATTCAGGTTCATATCTAATATTAACATATCACTAAAACACTGATAACATCAAAAATAAAAATAAAAATCAAGTTCCACCTATCATTTAAATCCATGAGTTGAGAGGAAACCTATCACCATCTACTGAGAACATAAACTCAAAGCTCGTGCACACACACTGAGAGAGAGAGAGAGAGAGAGAGAGAGAGAGAGAGAGAGAGAGAGAGAGAGAGAGAGAGAGAGAGAGAGAGAGAGAGAGAGATAAATAATTATTTTTCGAATGAGGTTGGACCATGTAGAACTTTTGCACATTTAAATAGGCAAAATTTCATAGGGAAATATTACAAAGGTACCCCACAAAAGCAACAGGATGTAGGGTGCACGATGATATGACCCCAAACCTTTAAACCTACCTACACTCATTTGTTCCAAAATTTTGGAATTGTAACCTACTCCACGAGTTCTACTACCTATCCCGGAACCTATTGGACCATGCTTGAGGGTCCACAGATTTCACGGATTCTACTACACACCCTAGTATTTAGTCACGAAAGAAACTCTTTGTAATTTTGTGCCGACTCCTTGAACCAAGGCTTTTCTTCTTTTCTAATTTTGGGACTTCTACTACTTTTGAGCTTTGTGAAAGATGATGGAAAAGATGTTTAACACAATGAGAGGGCCACATGTCAACTATTCAATGGCCTTCTACTATGTTCACCAAAATACTAATACAGTATTAGAGTAGATGACTTTAGGTGCCATTGCTCTCAGGTTGGATTTTCAAAAATTTAAGTAGAAGAGGTTTCACGACTTCCAAAATAATTCCTGTAATCCTATCACACTGCACATCCTGCAGATTTCTTAAATGCCATTCACATAGAAAAGATGGCATTCAATAGTACTTTTGCTATATTTATTCAGACATAGAAATCTTTATATATCAAAATTGACCGGTTGTGAAGGAACAAAGAACGGTCACAATTTTTCTAGGTAGGTCTTTCACCAGTTGAAAATGAGCATCGAAGACAACTAAACATGTGCTGTAACTAGTATAGAGTATGGTTAAATGTGCTAACCACCAAATAAAAGTACGATAATCACTTGCCAAAACATCCAAAGTGCGGAGAGAGTGCAAACCTTTTACCCTAAAAATAGTATGGATTAGTAAGCACAATAAGCAAATGCAAGTTAACTAAACCAACAGGAAAGAAAGAGGTGCAATAAGCAAATGCGATACTTTTGAATGTACAGAAATGGCTATCAGAGTTTCTACCTGAACTTGAGGGCGGATGAATCCCAGAAGTATTATTTAGAAGACGCTGACACCGACATCGGAAAAATTGGAGAAACTGAAGCAGAGAAAAGCGACAGAGAGATTTGTCCTAAGAAACGTTGTTAAGGAACGAATACCAGGAAAATTTGCCTTAGCTAGCAGAGCACTTGTGTCTTAACACTTGATAGCAATGAACTTTTGTGGAACCTCCATTTATTAAGTAAGAAAAAGAAATGCGAGGAATTATAAGGACAAAAGGAAAATGGAATAAACAGCGGCGTGGGTTGATTCTTTGCTTGCAACTTTCGTCCGAGGCTCTTTCTCTTTTGTTTGGTTGGCCTAATGAGTACATAACCATGTCTGAAGCTTTGCCGTCTATCTTTAAGGTCCCACGTGATTCTCTTCCTATTCTGCATTTTTAGCTATTGGATTAGGCTAATGATAGGCTAATCTAACACTAACCGCGGTTCTTGATGAAATTGCGGGGAGTCTTTAGGTCCGTTTTGTTTCTCGGAAAAATTAAAATGACTGGTAAATAATATTTCATAAAAAATTTGATTTTCTTGTGTTTGGTAGGATTTTTCAAATGAGATGAAAATCATTATCGGAAGTTTGGTGTTGACAAACTTTACGATGTGTTTAAGACAAATAAACCTAGGTCTGGTGGGCAATTATCAAGGCCTTGGCGGCAAGACTGGGGAACTCAAGCCTTGTACCTAGTATCCAGGCGCCAGACCAGGATCCCGAGCCCCGGACTCAAGATCCTAGGGGTCAGACACTGGAGGCCGATCCCAGAAGTCGTGGTCCTAGATGCTCAAGTCTTGCCCCCAGTGTCGATAGTCTAGGTGCTTGGGTCCAAAATGTAAGCGTCTAGGGCACCAGTTAGTGCACTGGGATCTCAGGTGAGGACCCTTGTGTCTAGGGGTGAGCGGTTCCAGGTTCCGGGTAGGTTTCGCCTGGAACCTGGAACCTACCCTCGGGTACAGGTTCCTCATTTTGAGGAACCTGGAACCTACCCGTCTGAACGTGGAACCTGGAACCTACCCTGTCACAGGTTCCAGGGTCGGTTCCAGGTTCCAACAGGTTCTTTTTTTTTAATTTTGTTTTGAATTAAACAAAACGAAAATAAACGTAATATTAGATCATCTGAATGATACATACACAATGCCCTGATGTGATATTCAAGAGATATAATGCCAAGTTTACAAATGCCTGGATAGAACTAAACTATAATTGCAACAATTATTGAGGAGGAAAGCAGCAAGATAATGAAAATATCCAAAATGGCATGAACAATGAAAGCACATTGTTCAAACAAATTGTGAGTAGAAGGTGATGTTAGACTTAAAATGATCACATATCAACCAGCAAACAAAAAAGAGGTAAGATAAGCTGTCCCAAGAGGATAACCTGTCATCACTACCCACAATACCCTTGCATTCCACTGGTGCAGCTAATTTGAAGCACATTAGACGGAATGGAGCTAGTCAATTTCCACCAGAACTTTGGTAGACTACGACATCCACATTGGACAGTCTGTCTCTCTTACATGCAAGAACATAGAAGTGCCTGCACATGCACAAGCACAAGCACAAGCACAAGCACAAGCGCATGTAAGGACGTCATTGCACAATCTTACAGCACTTCCTGTGTAGGTCCTGTTACTTATTTTAATAAATCCAGGCCAAAACTACCTAAAAATGAACAAAAGGATTATATCTTTCAATCCAACAGCTCACATAGGCCATACGTTTGCATCTGGTTTATTGTGCAAGATGTTTTTCCTCTGTCGCAGTTTAAAATATACGTCCAAGAATGTTCAAACATGATGCCCTTGTGAAGAAGGAGGAAAACCAAGGCAAGCACGAAACTAAATCAAGAGAAGATTAAGTAAAAAAAGTTACCCTATCTCAAACAAGCTCTCCTTTTTATTTGTCTTAAAGAGTGCTAATTGAAATTCCTCCCGAGAACAAAACAAAAGCAGAAATTAGAGAGCATCAAATTTCAAGCAAAGAAGCTCACATTAAAATGTTGATATAATTTGGAACAAAATCGCACTTCCCCCTTAAACTCGCCCATTATAAGGTTAAAGCAACAAAGACCTGGACATGATTGGAGTCTTTCTGAAAAAGGTCAGAAATAGATGCATCATTACCTTGTCGATCAGCCCGTCATCAACTACAGCACTGCTGATCTTCTTGAAAAGTTCATATAATGCTTCTATTTCACTCACGCTAACTGCAATTGAGAATGAAAGGAGAACTCATTTCCAGGATCAACAATAAGATTTTATATTCAGCAGCTTGATTTGGGAACGAGGCGAGCATTCACAACAGGATAGTAACCATTTGATCCATCAGTATGTATCTTCTAGGTGAAAGATACACACACACACAGCGATAAATATATTTATAGACACAGCGATAAATATATTTATAGAGAGAGAGAGAGAGACAGACAGAGACAGAGAGACAGAGACAGAGACAGAGACAGACAGAGAGAGCTCAAGAAGCAAAAAATTTCTAGGATGTGGCTCAAGCTTATTTAAGCTGTGATTACATTGATCTAAAGGAGGGATTAGCATACTCCTCAACAAATTGCAGCATATATAAAAGTAGATCGATAAATCATGGATGATAAATGAGTCGTACGTGCATCTTCAATTTCAGAACATTCGGGACACTGCTTTCATAATCTTCCACTAATAACATGCTGAATGCATCTAATTTCAAGTGAACAGACAAGAACCCATCCACCTAACCGATGAGACCCCTAGCAGACAGCCATATTCCATAAGAATGTTGCAATTTATAACAACCTACAGAGGTATGGAAGGAAACAAACATGAGTTGCCCAAAAAATACAATTTATATTTCACAGCAACAACAAAAGTAATGATGATTTAAAGCAACAGAAGTGAAACAAAGTGATTGCTATATCTTAAGACAATTTTATCAAATCAAATTGCATCTTTGGTAATTGGTAGCTTTGCTTTTTGAATATCACATAAATCAAATAATTCCCACTGATCATAACACCAGCTCTTAAGTTTGAAGCGTTTCCATCATTGAATGACTTGATTCCAAGGCCTTTTAATTGCAATTTTGTTCTGCTTCATCTGTAGAAATTGATATCAACTTAGTCATCCCCCTTACCAATCCATTTTGATTCTGTCCAAGTTCCTAATAAGAACTCTAAACCCCAATTCTCATGCTCTACGAAAATGACTTACACTGTCAACATTAAGACTTCCACATGAAAATATAAGAAAAAGAGAGCACTTCCTCAGAGCAAGCAATCATGCAACTCACGAGCACAAGTACGCGCTCGACAAGCGCACACACACAACAGATTCAAACGTATCTGTTAAAAGCGCAATTTCTCTTGATATAACAGCGATCCAACAACAGCAACTCTACACAGAATCAAACATGCCGTCACTTAAATCGAAGCAGAGAACAACACAGTCGCTTCCTACATTTTCCGATTGCGCGCAAGAGCGTGATCTTGATTGAATATCGAAATCGAATGACTGGAATTTCAAGTTCGGAACAGCTTCGTCATCCGTTCATCGTTGTTCCTCGTCTCATTTCTACTAGGCGATGAATCCAGATGAATGTGCACGCAAGAGCACGATTTCACGCAACTCAGGCACGAACACGATCGTCGTGACTGAATTCAATCGATCGATGCTAAAGATGAACAGAAGCAACAGCGGGAATTCAAAGAGAGAAGGCGTGAATGGCAGGGGTTGTTCAAACACGTTACGTACCAGAGCAACGGAGCTTCAGAGGAGGAAGACGGCGACGAGCCCGACTAATAGGAGCGAATCCGCGTGGGGAGATCACGAGACCTGCGTCGAAGAAGGCAGAGCGAGGCGGAAGCGGGAGCGAGGAGCAAGGCGAAAGCAGAAGCGGGAGCGAGGCAGAAGCGGGAGCGAGGCGAAAGCAGGAGCGAGGCGGAAGTGGAAGCAGGAGCGAGGAGCAAGGCAGAAGCGCAAGCGGGAGCGAGGCGGAAGTGGAAGCAGGAGGGACAATGATGGATTTGGGAATTAGGGTTTCTAAAATAACCAAGTGTTTAGTTTATATTTTAATTTTTAGGCATCCGGTTCCTGGTCCCGGTTCTTGGTTCCGGCTCCGGTTCCCGGTTCCAATCCGGTTCCGGTTCCAGGTTCCGGTTCCAGGTTCCGGGTCCGGTTCCTATAGGAACCGGGAACCGGAACCGGACAACCGGTTCCTAAAAATGGGGAACCGAGAACCGGACCCTCTGTCCATGGAACCTGGAACCGAACCGGACCCACCGGGTCCGGTTCTCCGGTTCTCGGTTCTACCCTGGAACCGCGCTCACCCCTACTTGTGTCCTAGGTTCAAGAGCTGGAGTGTCCGATCTGGCCCCAAGGTCTCGACTTTTTATGAAGGGATTATCCTAGCAATGGTGGAGGTCAATTTAGATCCTTGAAATTGAATGCCAATTTTTCGAAAGTGTAAATCATTTTTTCAATTTAAATACATATTTTTGTTCTTCATGAAAAATATTTTTTGTTGATTCATTTTTAAGGCGATGCCAAAATGACAGAAAATGAGGCGATACTTTCCAATTGCTATTTTTCTACGGAACAAATCTATCCTTTGTGTTTAGAAAATTTACTCCGCGGCCCTCTATAAGAACTTATAGAATCCACTAAGGCTCCTTTTATTTTGCAAAAAATGTGACATCTCTAGAAAATATTTCATAGTAAGTCGTTTTTTAGGAAAATGACAATATTTTCCGACGTTTGGTCAAAACTTGACTTGAAGATATTTTTTGCCGTTTGGTGTGAAAAATCTAATTTGATTTTCCAAAATAGACATAAACTATTTGGACGTTACTAACTTGCGAAGGGTAGCCGAAGAACCGAGTATAGGTAATAAAGTTGCTAGTCCGACCTCAATGGACCCTAACTCATGCGCTAGGATCGGGGCATAGGCACCAGGGTCCTAGGCCAGCCTCGATGGACCCAAGCACGAGGATTGGGGTCCTGTTCCCAGCCTTGATGGACCCGGGCATGCCTTTGTGGACCCAGACATGACCTTTGTGGACCTGGGCCTTGATGTTGGGTATTTGAGCTTGGGTGTCGAGAACCCACGCTCGGCCTTTGTGGACCCGGACTTGGGTCCGGGGCATTGGGCATGGGCATCAGGGTTTCATGCCCGACTTAGATGGACTCGGGTGCGAGCGCCGGAGGCCTTGGTACAGGCATCAAGGTCCCGGTCTCGGCTTCGATGTACCAAGCGCAGACTCTGGGGATTCAGGTATTAACACCGGGGTCATGGGTCCGGCCTCGATGGACCCTAGCTTGGCCTTGGAGACTTGGTTCTAAATGCTGAGTACCCAAGAACTAATTTTGGAGTTTCCGTGCCCAAGCATAAAGTTTCAGGTCAAGCACTCATACCTAATCATATTTTGGAAAATAATTTTCGATTTTTTAAAAAGAAAATCATTTTCCAGAATTTGGAATGACAAGACAATGGTCTGTTTGTCTTGAGCATAATAGATAATCACAACTGTGACTTGTGCTTACTGGGGTGATTTCAAGAAATTAACAATAGTTGAGCCTGAATTTAAAGCCTCTTCTTTCTTTTGCGAGGATGCAGAAAATGAGAATGCAGAAAGTGCCAATCCGCGCCATGAACCATGTCGAAAGTCGATCACAGCAGAAATATTTTGTTTGCTTTTGCAGGATAAAGATAAACGTTTTACTACTGGTTTTGACCATATAGTTCATAGTCCGGCCGCAAGCAGGAAACGCTACAGCAACACAACAAAATATTAATATTGGCTGTTAGAATTACTGAGTGAAGTAAAAGGCTAGAAGGGATATTAGAGAGTGTAGTAGAACGATTACATTAAAGACAAATAGAGTTAGTTGACGAGATCAGACACTCATTAATTACAAGGAGGCCTGTTTTTATCGAAAAGTGTCGATGAAAAAGCTTTCGATCGATATGAAAATTGATAAAGAATATGTATGGTTCTTTATTGATTCTCGGACAAGAAGCGCAACTAACGAGAAAATTAAAAGTAGGAATACTACAATGAGTCATGTCTTTCCATGTAAAAGATGTTTACGTCTACATTACGCGGACAAGTCAAACTTGTATCTTAAAAATAGTCAAATTCTGACATCTAAATTATGCTGACAAGATTTTGAGATTCGAGAACTATGATTGCAATAGGGCTCGATCCTTCAACCAAAAATAGTCAAATTCTGCATTCATTCGTCCTATATAGATATATAAGTTAGATTCACTCCATTTCAGTAGTATTTAGGTGCCATTTCATAAGTCAAAGATTGACTTTTCGGTTGACTTTTGGTCAATCTAACAGAGTCAATCTTTATTGAAACGAAAATATCATAACAATGCCTATAGGCGTTTTCACCCTTCCATCATTGCGTATAGATTGAGGAGTTTAAGTCTCAAATTTCATGCATAAGTCAAAGGTTGACTCTTTTGATGAAACTGAGAAATTTGAACTATGATAGAAACATCATCATTTGTAGGTCAGTTTAAAGGACAATAAAGGATTTTTAGATCTATTTTGGCTTTTGCCGGATTTGGTGCAGAAGGTTTTGATTAATTAAAAAAATTGTGAATTTACGAGAACTTGATTAGACAAATTAAAAATAAAAGGACTTAATCAGAAATGCGAGGAAACATATATTCTTTTCCTAGTGTTTGATCCGACTAGATTAAGTGATCAAGTACATTCGGGTGATTTTTGAACTTCATCGAGTAACCGAGTTCATCTAATCCATTTGATGAGCCTGTCAACAATTTTGTGAGCAATACTAGGGGAAAGCAAATAGATTATCACACATTACAAATTTACATGCATAAGCTGCTTATATAACTAGGATAAAAAGGAAAAATGTCATGGAATAATTTCAAAACCACATTCTTGTACAAACTACATAAATTGATTGCAGGGTCGATAGCATGTGGTTTTCAACATAAATTGATTACAAAGACGAATGCGAGCACACCATTCAAATGAGAAATGCTAATGTGTACCGAAACACTACCTTGCAGATTTTTTCCTTTTGAGTAATTGGACAAGTTCACCTCAGTGTGGGCTCAAGATCTTTTACTCGAATACCATGTGAGCTCAAGACCTTCTACTCGGATACACCACAAACTGTGGCTTAAAGTTTTAGCTGTCGTGTAAAGTTTTAGCATACAAGGTTTGGTCATCCCTCCTCCGAAAATCCTTTGGAAGCAACTAGAAGAACCTTTTTCCGAGGAGGGAGATTTCTGGGATGTCGAGGCAACGTTTGGGGTTTTCATAAGGGAACTTGTCGGTCTTGTGAGCCAAGAGGAGCCACACATGAGTGATGAGCGCACCTCCTCTTCTCAGTCGCTTGGCATGGCGATACACATGACAGTTGTATGCTGCATGACACAGCATCTCCACCCAGATGCTGCTGATGAGCTCCCACTTGTTGTCCATCGTCCTAATGTCGGCCACGAGCTTCTGCACCTCCGACAACACGTGCCAGTCGCCAGTGATCGTCATCTCCTTACTTGGTCTGACCGGGTGTGGGACATCTCCGTCCAGTGACGACAGTTCGCTGATTGCTTCTTTATAGTCTCGGTACCTCAAGAACAGCCTTAGTGTGCAACAAGCGTCGTCCAGTGTCATGTTGGCGGTGGGGAGGGACAATACGTGAGGATGTAGAGCGAGAAGGTACATCATATACTCTGATAGGAATTTGCTTCCTTCACAAGCATCGGATTTCTCGATTTCCAATGATAGTAGGACTTCCGTGGCGATGTTCCAGATAATGATGCTGTTTGCAAATTTTGCCTCGATGCTATTGCTCAGTCCTTTTTTCCCTTGGATGCCGTGAATCTCGAGCGTCCACTTGCCTCTTTCGTTGAATTGCCCGTATTTTCTTTTCTCCTCTAGCTCCGCCATCTTTCGTAGTACCAGCGCCCTGAGGCACAAGGGCATGGGCTGGCGGGAGTGTAACCAATGCCAACTAAAGATCTCCCGCTTACCAAACCAATCAAATACCGCGCGGACGGGATCCCACTTACCAAACCAATCAAGTACCACATGAACGGGCTTTTGCCTTTCTTTGTGGCAGTGGTCTAACAAATTGAGCTGCCCTATCGACCTCGACCATCTTTTCTTCCTTATGCACCGATCAGCCAGAAACGGGAGGAGCCTTGAGAAGAGCGGCATCCCAAGGTTCCTACCCATCGCCACCACTGCCCAATCTGAAAATGCCAACGTCGTGATCTGATAAAGCTCGAGACATGTGACTGCCATCAGTAACGCATAGGTATAGGTGATGTACATATCGATCAAGAAGGCCTTCTTGAAGATCACGGCGAATCTACACAAGGCATACACCAAGCAGAAGAAGCCGATAGTGCAGCCTATGATGCCGCGTTTTGTGTACAGAATGGGTGCTTTAGTGTAGAGCGCGTCGAACATGAAGTTCAGCTCGATCTCGTTCACGATGAAAGCGCGGTTGGCAGGGTAGCTGTCAATGGACATCCAATCGCGGGATGTGAACACAGGGTGGTACGGCCAGTTCACGAGGTGGGGCTTCAGACAGTCGAACCGAAAGTAGGCCTTCAAGATGTCCTTTGAGGAGTCGAACTTCTTGTCCTCGGGGAACATTTTGAGCTCAGCCCTGCCTTCCCTGACTTCCTTGGTGGCTACTTTGGGAAAGTACTCGGCGTTCACAATTGAGTTCTCGTCATACACGGATTTGAGAGCCCAGACCCACAACGCCGCCTTTATGAATCCAGCAATGAACAATGGGATGTACAGCCATGAGACTGGGGACGAGCCGTCCCAACAGCGAATGAGAATACGAACCACGAAGACGACTGTAGCCCCGATGTTCAGAATCTGTCTCACTCCCAGCCGGTTATCTTCCACCTGATAGGCCGTTATGCTATCTGGGTACCCAAGTTGCATCAGAAGCAATGGCGCAAACAGCCCTTGCAACTCCACGTCGTAACCCGGATTTTCAGGATCATCGATGCGGACCACAGTAAGCTTGCCCAGCGCAATTTTCGCAACATAAGAAAGGAGCAAATAGGCAGCCCAGACAATGGATCTAGCTAAATTCGACCTCGTATATTTCCGGCGAATGCCTAATATTGTGAGAAAAATCTGGCAGGTAAGGCTTACGGTGACCAAGAAATGAATCCCCCAGTCCACCCACAGATCTTTTAGTAGCGGCAACACCGTGTTGATCAAACTCATGGGGGCTTCGTTCAGATGTGCTCACTAGACGTCAATGCAAATGCAGAGTGAGGAAGATTTTTACATTGCTTCTGAAGAATAATTACTAAGAGCTTGCACAAAACTGCATAAATGCATCCTTTATTGCATACATTGATTCTCTCAATCTGTTAGAATTTCGCACAGCTGAAACCATGAATGTGCACATTGTTTATCCTACAAGTTAATCGCATCATATGTGTCAAAGCGACACATGGATCAGACACAATGTGCGTAAAAAGGAAGATTTACAATGCGATTAAAGTTTTTGACTGTATATCCTTTTGCGATCCTTGTATTTTTCTTTTTCTTTTTGTTACTCCTTTTTTTTTTCTTTTTTCACTTTTTGATGTGTTCAGCTAGATCTTAACTATCTAGGAAAGTGGCACTCTTCTCGCATCATGAGATGTGAAGAAGCTTTGGGACAATTTGTGCCGTTAGCCGTCCACCTTCTTATGAGTCTTCCTTATTTAATCAGAATAATAAACTACATATGCTCGCTACAATTACGTTACTTGGGAAAACAAATTGTAGTTATAAGGTGAATGCTTTCTAACAGTTATATTACTGAAATGACTTTAGGTGCAATTGCTCTCAGGTTGGTTTTTCAAAAATTTAAGAAGAAGAGGCTTCACGACTCCCAAAATAATTCCTGTAATCCTATTACACTGCACATCCTGCAGATTTATTAAATGCCATTCACATAGAAAAGATGGCATTCAATAGTATGTTTGCTATACCTTTTCAGACATAGGAATCTTTATATGTAAAATTGACCGGTTGTGAAGGAACGAAGAAGGGTCATAATTTCTCCAGGAAGGTCTTTCACCAGTTGGAAAATGAGCATCGAAGACAACTAAACATGTGCTGCAACTTGTATAGAGTATGGTTAAGTGTGCTGACCACCAAATCAAAGTACGATAATCACTTGCCGAAACATCCAAAGCGCAGAGAGCGTACAAACCTTTTACCCTAAAAATAGTATGGGTTAGTAAGCACAATAAGCAAATGCAAGCTAACTAAAGTAACAGGAAAGAAAGAGGTGCTATTCAATGCAATGCAAGACTTTCAAATGTACAGAAATGGCTATTACAGAGTTTCTACCTGAACTTGAGGACTGATGAATCCCAGAAGTATTATTCAGAAGATGCTGACACCAACATCGGAAAAATTGGAGAAACTGAAGCTGAGAAAAGCGACAGAGAGATTTGTCCTAAGAAACATTGTTGAGGAACGAATAGCAGGAAAATGTGCCTTAGCTAGCAGAGCACTTGTGTCTTGACACTTGATAGCAATGAACTTTTGTGGAACCTACATTTATTAAGTAAGAAAAAGAAATGCGAGGAATTATAAAGGAAAATGGAATAAAAAGCGGCATGGGTTGATTCTTTGCTTGCAACTTTCGTCTGTGGCTCTTTCTCTTTTGTTTGGTTGGCCTAATGAATACATAACCATGTCTGAAGCTTTGCCGTCCGTCTTTAAGGTCCCACGTGATTCTCTTCCTATTTTGCATTTTTAGCTATTGGATTAGGCTAATGATAGGCTACTTTAACATTAACCTCTCTAACATTAACCTCGGTTCTTGATGAAATTGCAGGGAGACTTTAGGTCCGTTTTGTTTCTCGGAAAAATTAAAATGACTGGTAAATAATATTTCATAAAAAATTTGATTTTCTTGTGTTTGGTAGGATTTTTCAAATGAGATGAAATTCACCATCGGAAGTTTGGTGTTGACAAATTTTACAATGTGTTTTAAGACAAATAAACCTAGGTTTGGTGGGCAATTATCAAGGCCTTGGCGGCAAGACTGGGGAACTCAAGCCTTGTACCTATATTTACACCAAAAAATGGCCAACTTGTCGACATGGGAAATACATGACAGAGGCATGAATTATGCATCCCGTCGTTGACGATTGCAGAAAGTGATATCCATTTAGTGCATTGATGATGGTTCAGTTGTTGTCGATGAGTATTTGTATCAAAGATCATCAAGGGACACATGGCAGAGGCATGAGGCAACGTGGTAGCAAATATCATCAAGTTGCCAATATAAGGGACATGTGTATATGTTTACACCCACAGATGACCAATTTTTGGGTATTATCGACAAGAACGGGAAAACGAGCAGAAATTTCAGTTTTGTGCCAGTTCGGGAAAATGGTCATAACTTAGTCGACACAAATTGGATTGATCTGGGTCCAAAGCCAAAAGAACAAAGACTCCTGGACCTACAACTTTTACGTTTTGAGTTTTCTTAGAAAATCACTGTACAGCTGTGGACATTAAAAGGAAGTTGACTGTCGTGACTGGTCAGGATGCTGAAATTTCAGTTATGTGATAGTTCGGATAAATGATCATAACTTAGTCAACACAAATTGGATTGACCTGGATCCAAAGCCAAAAGAATGAAGACTCCTGGACCTATTACTTTTATGTTTTGAGTTTTGTTAGAAAATCAATGTAGAGCTGTCAACGTTAAAAGGAAGTTGACTATCGTGACTGGTTAGGATGCGGAAATTTCAGTTCTGCGCTAGTTCGGGAAAATGGTCATAACTTCTTCGTTACAGATCGAATTGACTTGATTCTAAAGCCAAAAAAACGAAGACTCCTGGATCTACAACTTTTATGTTTTGAGTTTTCTCAGAAAATCACTGTAGATTTGTCGAAGTTAAAATGAAATTGACAGTCGTGACTGGTCATGGTGTGGAAATTGATAGACACTTCAGTGAAGAATTGCCAACTTGAAGGAATCGACAAAAAGTGGAGTCAACAATCTCAGATACAACTATCGAAGAAGTAACCGTCAACATAGTGGGGTCGAAGCAACCACCAATGTAGTAGAGTCGAATAAACCGTTAAGGTAGTGGACTCCACGCAACTGTTGGAAACCACTAAGGAGCATACATGTATATTTTGAGGGAACAATTACTTGAAAGCATGATCATAAGGCAGTTATCACTTGTAAGACAAGATTGTGGGACAGTTATCTTGAAAGCAGGATCATGACATCACATGGACATGAAGACAAGATTTTTGGAATGGAAGAACATTGGTACAACCGTTGAAAACTGCTAGGAGCAGTTACCACATGACCATTATAAATATCACCGGCCATCTACTGGAGACGCCCCACGATAAATCAAACAACATGTTATCTTTTGTCACGCCCCGTACCCCACGAAGCGACAACATCCCGCGTACAGATCGAAATTGTGGTGCGACGCTCCCAGGCTACGTCACCGACCCGAAAACCCAAATCAGAGAAAAACACAACACATGCGGAAACGACGTATATATATATATATATATATATATATATATATATACACCCGGACAATAAACAAAGTAACCATGAATAGCACCAGATAAATAATTTACGAACAATTTGAAACGAGATAAACATTCTTTACTATAACTTATGCACAATATCCATTTACAACAAAAGATACAACGGTAGGGCCACTAAGACAAAAAGGGATCAGCAGCCGGGATCAACTACCAACAGAAGGGCTACAGTCAAAAAGCATCGGCCCTCGCTGCTACAACTGAGGTCTAACCTAGGGTACCCAGTCAGGATCAGAACCCGACAAATCTGAAGAACTCTCGGAAGGCTCCTGCTCCCCCTCTGAACTCACGGCCTCAGAATCTGTCTTTGGCTCAGGGTCCTGCTCCTCGGTCTCAGCTATATCCATCGGCTCTGGGGCCTCCGCGTCCGCCTGCTCCGGGATTGGGTCCACAACCTCTGGCTCAAAAGCTACCCCACCTAGCTCTTCATGCTCCTCCTCATCCTCCACAATCTCATACTCTACCTCCGAGTCTTGGTCACTCTCCATATCCACATCTATAATATCGCCGTCTGGACACTGCGAGTCCAACTGACCTTCTCCGACAAACGGGACATCAGCAGACCTGATGGGACCGAACTCGACTCCAAAACGGTCCCGTAAACACCAAGCTAGGTACTCGTGGGTCTCATAGTGAGCTCAACCTACGTCTACCAAAACTAACGTATAATGCCGTATGTACACCTCATCATTCCCCACAGGATGAACTGTCCTCGAGCGCTCTATATGGATGGGGATCCCAAAATGTAACGGCGCGTCGTTAAAATTCATGGTCGAGGATCTGAAATTGTCAGTTTTACAACAACCGTGAGAAAACTCAGCAAGTAACAACCCCTAATCTTAAACTAGGCTAATGTGTACCTCCAGATGGGTAAATTAAACACATCAAGCAGAGAATCAGTAAATCACTAAAATTTCTCTCGGGCCCACAGCCCAATACATTATCTCGAAACCCTGCAGGTTAGGTGTTCAACAACAAAAATACTCACGTGCAATTATTCCGACCCGAAGGCCCACAAATATAACGACCCGAAGGTCAACAATTTGATAGAACGACCCGTAGGCCCGACCCGAAGGCCAACAGTTTGATAGAACGACCCGTAGGCCCGGCCCGAAGGCCAACAGTTTGATAGAACGACTCGTAGGCCCGACCCGAAGGCCAACAGTTTGATAGAACGACCCGTAGGCCCGACCCGAAGGCCAACAGTTTGATAGAACGACCCGTAGGCCCGACCCGAAGGCCCACAGTTGTATAAATCGACCCGTAGGCCCGATTTCAAATCAATTCACAACATAATATATGGATTACAAGTCAGGGCATCCCAGGTCAATTTTCCAATGCCAATATGCTAAACACAACCATTCTCAAATTAGACGAAATCAAAGCAATATTGGCACTCCCAATTAATCCCATCCTAGTCCAATCAACTCCACATTCAATCCGCGCATTCATTCAAAAGTAATTTAATGCGCCTAAGGCTCGCCTTGGGCAATTCGATCTCGATAGTCGTTCTCATCATCACGAGACCACTTAATAGGATCTAGACAAGTCCCAATTAACCCTTAAAATGCCTAAATTTCCAGCCATGATACATTAATCCATTTGATGCTCAACTTAGGCCATTATTGCAATTTCGGTACTGAATGAACAGTACCAGGGCAGAACATGCTTTGCCCACTAAACCATGCTTGAACAACCTCATTAGGCCCTAATCACAACCATTAATCACCCAACA